GAAGCACCTTTATGCTGTTTTGTTTTAATCTGTCTTCCCTGCCTATTAGCTTCTTTCTGATTGCAGAAATCAGTATGCCTTTTTAAAATCTGCATTCATTATGATAATCTCAAGCTTTCCTATTAATAGTATAATTTTAAATTGCCTATTATAAAATATTTCATGCATATAGAAACAGAGGTGAGTATAAATATAAGGTGTAAAGAATACTAAACAAATAAACACATTTATATCCACACCCAGTTTAAGATCAAGCAATGCAGTTTACTATTGAAAACATTTGAACTTTTTTATAAAATGAATTATGTTATATTTTCTTCAGCAGCCTGCTTCCTCCCTCACCCCCCAGCTTAAAATTCTGCTTGTTAAATTAATTTATGTTAACACATATATCTCCAGTCCTTTCTTTCTCACTGTTGAATAGTATTCAGGGTTACCATCATTTATTCATTCGTTTCACTGTCACTAGTTACTTCATTTTATTTTAAAATTTTATTTTATAACTACCAATATTTTTTAAAATTTTAGGACAGGTTATCTTCTATACATGTTCAAAATTTTGCCTAGAATGTATATTTCTTGGGGGTGATATTTTTAAGCCATAGAATTAAGAATATTGTTAGCTCTAGTATGCCAAATGCTTTTGTAAAATTATTATATATAATTTGAGTGTAATATATTATTTTCTTAGATATTGTGTATTATTCTATAACTAGAGGCCTGGTGCACGAAATTTGTGCACGGAGGGGGATTGGTCCCTCAGCCCGGCCTGCACCTCCTCTAATCCGGGACCCCTCGGGGAATGTCCGACTGCCTCTTGAAATTTGGGACTGCTGGCTCCTAACCACTCACCTGCCTGCCTGCCTGATCACCCCTAACCCCTCTGCCTGCCTGATCACCCCAAACCCCTCTGCCTGCCTGCCTGATCGCCCCTAACCCCAGGATTCCCTCCTCTGGCCAGTCGCAGGCACCCGGGACCCGAACTTCCCTCCTTCTGGCCGGCCGCAGGCACCCAGAACCTGGGCTGGCTTTGCCCGGTCTGGCCACAACCACAGGGGACCGTGGGCAGGTGGCTTTGCCCGGGTCGCAGCCACAGGTGCCTGGGACTGCAGGGTGGGCGGCTTGTCCCTCTCCTGGGCCACAGGCGCAGCCGCTGGTGCCCGGGACTTCAGGGACCATGGGGCATGCAGATTGTCCCTCTCCCAGGCCATAGGTGCAGGCGCAGCCACTGGCACCTGGGACCACAGGACAGGTGGCTTGTCCCCCTCCTGGGCCACAGCCTGGCTGGTCCCCATTCCTCTCTCATGAGCTCATTTGTGCCTGGATGGTCCCCATTCCTCTCTTGCAAGCTCATTTGTGCCTGGCTGGTCCCTATTCCTCTCTCCCCAGTGTTAAGTGGCTGAGCGGTCATGGCGTGACGGCATGAGGGTGTGAAGACCATTTGCATATTAGCTTTTTATTATATAGGATTATGTTGCTTTGCTTCTTGATTTGTTTCCTTGGGTCTGAAATCTCTCTTTTAATCTCATTCTATTGATTTATCATCTTGTCTTTAAATTCTCCTTCCATTTAATCTATATTCTCTTTAACTTATATATTCCTTTGTTCTTTCTCATTTGATTTGGTCCTTGAAATAACACTGTGAAACAGGTAATATTTTTATTCTCATTTTATAGGAGAAAAAAATGGATTTCCAAGAAATTATGTGCCTAGGCCACAGTCTTACAGAGTCCAGGATTCACAACCAGCACCCAAGTATTCCACCTCCAAACTCTTGCTGTTTCCACTGCTTTAAGAGAAAATATAATTGAGGGCTACATTGTGTAGTATGGCCTCTAAGACTAATTAAGCTTCCAAACTGAGCAGGCAAAGATAACCAACACTTACATAACACGTGTAACTCAATGAAAATCCTCCCCAATAAGATAAGAACAGCAGGATACCAGGTGACATTATCCCTGACCTATCTTGGAAGTTATTGTGATAGTATAAGGAGGAATTCTACTGCTACTACCACCTAAAGAGAGAGAGAGAGAGAGAGAGAGAGAGAGAGAGAGAGAGAGAGAGAGAATGTGTGTGTTAAGCAGCTGATAATAAGTGACAGGACTATTGAAACAGGCTTTTGAAACCCCATGTAATACCAAGGAAACAGGATGGAAACAAGAATATGACATGGGTTTTCTTGTACCTTGATGGTATCTTGGGAGAAGAGCCTTTATTTGGAATCTCCCTCTATCCTCAACGCCCTCTGTCCTGAAGAACCAGGTCACACAGTGAAAACCGGTGCAACAATGAATACGATGGAGGACGGAGCCTTCTGCTGCATAAGGGCCTCTTCCAGCACTTGGAGGGAGAGACCGAAGTGCCCTTTTTCCTGGAAAGGACAGTGGCACTGAGTTTCAGTTTTGGAAGAAAGGTATAGGAAGTGACATAAATGATCTCTACTGGGAATGATGTAAACCAAGGGTGAAGGACAGCAAGACTGAAAAACTATTATATGTCTTATCTCTGAAATTGGCTGCTCTTGTGTCTTAAAGCTGGTTGAGTTTAGTTCCTACTTTCAAATGTCTGTCAAGAAATTATATTCAAACATAGGAATATCCAGTAACTATTTTCATTGTTTCCTAAAGGTTGTTCTATGGGAGATCAATAAATTTTCAATGAAAAAAAAACTGCAAAGTATTCAAATAAGTTTGGATGTATTTTATTTAACCATGCCAACAATATGGTCTAAAAGATATTACAGAAAAAATATTATTTTTATATTAATTAATAAATATGTAATTGCAAAATATTATATATTTTTATAAACAGAGATGCACTAAAATGCTGCTAGGAAATATACCCTGACCACATCTGGGTGGTGGGAATACAAGTGAATTGCATTTTCATATTTTTACTCATTTTCATTTCTTTTTTTTAGCGAATAATATTTTTAAGAAATTTAACATGACAACAATAACTTTAATACTTAGCCCTTAATATGCTTTATGTCACATAGGCCTAAGAAGTTGGCACTGCTATTATTATTGTAGTTATATAAATGCTATTTTTAAATTCCAGATTTAAAGCTATGAGGAACTGGACAAGTTGGTTCAGGCAGAAAGGAGAAAGTGGAAATGAGACATATCTGGAAGGCAGAAATAAGAAAACATGGAAACTAATTGTCTGTGGGAAGCAACTATGTATGCCTCCAGGATACTGAGGCTTATAGTATTAGTGACAAAAACAGAATCAAGGAAATCCAATATCATATAAAGATTTTAATGAAATTTAAAGGAATGGTTACTTTTCAAGAAGAAGCTGGGGTTGGCTCTTGTTGATAATTGAGGAGGTGGCAAAGCACATTGGTAGAAATGTTTGGTGCTGGCTGGAACTCCAGAGAGAGAGCAACCTAAAGATGTAGTGTGGGCAGCCATCCACAATGGAGTCTTTTTGAGAATCGCTCATGTGAATGGGCTCTCCCGCCAGGTCTCTATACAATCCCAAGAACTTGACCAACGTGTGGAATGATGATAGAATGGAATTCCAAGAGTCCTTGTGCATGGATGAATGTTGACAAAGGATGACATTTTCAAATAGTTTTCTTTATTGTTTTTCCTTAGAGATTCCTTGATTTCTTTTTTTTTTAATAAAAGTAGAAATGACATTTAATAAGGTTACACCCTAGAAGATAGGATTTGAGGTGAAAGATACCCTAGCCACATGAAGATGTGATCAGAAATTGAGAATTGAGTCATGATAAATTCATGGTATACTGCATGGAGGATGAGGAAAGGGATCAAGGTAGGAAAATACAAAATGAAGGTCTCTGACTATGTATAAATACAATGAGCAAAGATGTAAGAGTCTTGGGGTCTCAAAGAACCCCAACTTAAAAAGAAATGTGCTGTATATTATGCTGGCACGTGTAAGGTATTTATTAGGAAATATTTTTTTCAGGCAGTAAAAAGACATAAATATAATCATACAATCACCTTGTCATATTGGGCATTAGGAAGACCTATTTTAGAAAGATAATAAATTCCCTTCTCTTCAAGGCCCCTCTTTTAAGTGAGTTCAAAGTTATTAAATAAAATATAGAGGGCATCAAAGAAAAATGAGTACATAACTGTAAAATGTACTTCTAAAGACAGGTTAATGAATATGGTATTATTTTTGGAATCAATAGATCAAGAGATAACTTAATAAGGATCAAGATAATTAATTTGGGCAAGGTTATCATACAGAATTTTTTGGCATCTTTATTGCAGGCAGAAAAATGGGAAATAAGCTGAAACCATTAGTAAAGAGTAATCCCAAAAAGTACCTGTGCATATACAGGGTGGGGCCAAAATAGGTTTATAGTTGCGTCTACAGAGTTTATTCTTGTATTATTATTTATTATTTTATTATTTATTTGTATCACAACTGTAAATCTACTTTTGCCATTCCCTGTATACACACACATACACAGATCACACATACTTACACATATAAATATACAGTGTTTGTATAAAGAGTGTGGAAGGGTATGTGTCAAACTCTTAATAGTTATTATTTGTATGTGGTACAATTATAGGTGTTTTTATTTGTCCTATATCTGAATTTTCTCACTTATCTATATTAAACATTAAATATTTGTGCAATAAGAAAAAAAACCTGCCCCAGCTGGGTGGCTCAGTTGTTTGAAGCATCATCCCATACAACAAAAAGGTCAGGACGCCTGCCTAGGTTGTGGGTTCCATCCCAGGTTAGGCTGGTATGACAGGCATCCAATCAATGTTTCTCTCTCATATTGATGTCTCTCTCTCTCTCTCTCCCTCCCACTTTCTCTAAAAATAAATTAACATTCTCAGGTGAGATTTTTTTTTAAAAAACCTGTTTGAAGTGTTTATAGAAAAAAAGATATGTCACTTCCCTCTCATCCCTATCACACTGTCAACCCCTAACCTATGAAACTTGTTTTTTATAAGATTCTATATAACAATAATACTGCTACTCTATTTTATCTTTTTCAGATACTAGTGAAAAATAACCATCTTTCAGACAAGATCATTGTTCTGCCAGGGATAATTGAAGAAATCTCACTTCCCGAGGCTGTAGATGTGATCATTTCTGAACCAATGGGATACATGCTGTTCAATGAAAGGATGCTGGAGAGCTATCTTCATTCCAAAAAATGGCTGAAAGCAAATGGTGAGTTGGACAGTCCTGGTTTAGAAAATAGGCTAACTTGTCTGTAAAATTTGCCAAGAATCCTGTCAAAAATTTCCCCCATGTTCAATTCTGACAGAAAGGAGAGAACATTTCCATTGCGCCAATTCTTTTATTTTCTCATTTTATTCCCTAACACATGAGATAGTCTCCAACCGTGAGGACGTTGACGGCAGTGTGCTGCACAGGATTCAGTATAGTATAGGTGACCAGTTCAGAGTTATGTATTTTTGTCCTGGTTCTATCACATTCTTTCTTAAGGAACTTGGCCTAATACTTGACTGTTTGACTTTGATTTCTTCACCTATACGGTTAAAAATCATCTCTAAAGCCCTATGAAGTGTTTGCTTTCTATAATGTAATAAACTCCCTGGGGTCTGCTAGTTCTTTCTAACATACTCCTTTTTTTACTGCTTATATTTTCCTCTATGATCACTACTTATAATCAAGATAAAAATATATAAAGTCCAATAATTTTTGTGCTTACTAAGTGTCTGCATGCACTAATCAATTTGCATGATTTTGTAAAAACCTTACAAAGTGTGAATGATGGAGGTTTTTAACTTATTGGAAGGGTTATTGTTGAGGTTCTTGTGATTTTATATTTCTTCCCCAGGGGTATTTGGCAACATTTGGAAACAATTTGGGTTTCATAACTGAAGGCGGGGCCACTACTGGCATCTAATGGGAGAAGCCAGGGATGCTGCTAAACATCCTTCAGAGTACAGTACAACCTCTATGCATCAAAGAGTCATCCCCCTAAAATGCCAATAGTGCCAAGATTGAGACCTGGCTTAGGGAGATAGACTTGAAAAGTCCTGGCACAATGAGGAAAACAACCTAACAAGGGCACACCTTTAATAAGTGACAGAAAGACCCTTAACATGCTGTCTACAAGAGATTCACTTCAGATTGAAAGACACACACAAACTGAAAGTAAAGGAATGGAAAGAGATATTTCATGAAAATGAAAACAAACAAGCAAAAAAAAAAAAAAAGCTGGGGTAGCAATACTTATACCAGACAAAACAGACTTTAAAACAAAGGCCATAATAAGAGACAAAGAAGGGCCAGCAATTCTATTTTCAAAGAAACCCAAAATTCTAAATCTAAAAGACATATACATCCATATGTTCATTGCAGTATTACTTATAATAGCCAAGATATGGAAGCAATCTAAGTGTCCATCAGTGGAATGGATGAAGAAGAAGTTGTGCATATAGTATATAATGGAATATGACTCAAGCATAAAAAAGGATGAAATCTTGCCATCTGCAACATGGAATGACCTAGAGGGTATTGTGCTGAGTAAATAAGTCAGACAGAGGAGGGCAAATACTATGTAATATCACTTATATATGAATCTATAAAACAAAATTAATGAACAAGCAGAATATAAACAGACTCGTAGATGCAAAGAACATTTTGATGGTTGCCAGATAGGTGATAAATTGGGGGAAAAGGTGAAGGGACTAAGAAATACAAGTTGGTAGTTACAGAACAGTCATGGGGATATAAAGTACAGCATAGGGAATGTAGTCAATAATATCGTAATAACTATATGGTGTCAGATGGGTAGTAGATTTATCAGGGCAATCCACTTAATAAGTTATATAATGTCTAATCTCTAGGTTGTATACATGAAACCCCTAATATAATATTGTATATCAACTGTAATTGAAAAAAATTATTTAAAGTTTTTTTAAAAAGTGACAGAGCAGGGATTTGACCCCAGGTCTGTCTGACCTGCATCCCACACTCACAACTCCTGTACACACACTGACTTTTACTCTTTACCAGAGAGAGTGGAAGGAATTCTTACAGCCCATGTTTTTCAAATAAGACGTAGAAGGTAACTGAATTGTAGCTTCTTACCTTAATTGTATTTACTCTAAATTGCTCCCTATTTTGGTATCCAAGGAAGACAAAATAGGGAATAAAAGTACAACCCATACTTAACCAAGTGACACAGTATATGCGTACAAATAAAGCTTGAGACTCATCCACACATGTTTTCAAAATTTAGGGATTCAGAAATATGCACTTAAAAAAACCTCATGTGAAAAAATAACTAAATAAACTTAGGAAAGGATACCCAACGTCAAGAACTTCATTAGTGTTCCTGTTGTAAAACAGCCCAGGTTGAACTTGGAAGCCTTGTGTCCACGCGATAAAATTGAACTGTGGGAGAGAAAGGAAAGGAGCAAAGCTGCTTGGATTTCCTCCTCAGTGCCCCCCAGGGAAGAATTTTTATACTTTTTTTCTGGAGAATTTTTCAAATGGTGAGGTGCTTTTGTGTGATGAGATTTTACACATAGTTAATTAACGTGCAACTGATTGAGCCTCTCAAAGCTGAATATTTCCCCAGATATTTGAAGTGGATATGAAATTTTATATTGGGCTATATATTTTTAACTAGACAAGTAGAAATAAATGCTGATTTTTATCAGCTTTTTACCCTGGGTGTTCCTGAGGGAATAATGATTGCATTTTTTCCCTAATTATTTTGATTTTCCATCAAAATAAGACATAGTTTACAACATCAAATAATAATAAAAGGCTTATAATGAAAAATAAGAACTCTCTGTCACATCTCCTCCTATGCCGAGACTGCTACCCGAAGGCTGTTCCTTTCAACTCTATTCTCTGTTTCTTCTGTTATTTACAATGTTTATATGTAAAGTTATCCTATTGCTATTCTTGTCACTCTGTGGTTGAGAAGTTAGCTTTCCTACATATCAGCTCTCTCCCTTCTTGATACACCCTCCCTTCCCCCATCCTCTCAATATATTTATACAGGTCCTCAATACCTTATCCTAACCTTTGGGCCTAGATATGCTTCAGAATTCAGAATCTGGAGGACTTTGGAAAGGTAATACACTCATATACCATGTATTACTTAATGCCTCCAGTCAGATATGAGGCAACACTCCATAATGAAACACATTATATGTATCTCTGCTACAAAACATATGAATATGGATGCCAAGTGAGATAAATATAGTCTATAAATCAACTCACATCAGTTCAGGTCAGGTTTTGTCATCAAATGATGTTGCAAACTTACAAAAATCTGTTGCTTTGCAGAGCAGAGCTTTTTAAAATTCAGAATTTAATATAAAGAAATATGGACCTAGCTCAGCCGGTGTGGCTCAGTGGTTGACATCTACTTAGGAACTAGGAGGTCACGGTTTGATTCCCGTCGGGGCACATGCCAGGGTTGTGGGCTCGATCTCCAGTAGGGGGCATGCAATCAATGATGCTCTCTCATCTTTAATGTTTCTGTCTCTTTCTCCCTCTCCTTCCTCTCTAAAATCAATAAAAATATATTTTTTAAAAAAGGAAACATGGACCTATGTAATTATTTGCTTAAATGAGTAATCAATATGTTTATATTACTGTCGCAATGTAAATAGTGTGCAGTGCCAAATCAGGTGGTATAGTGGGTGCATGTGATTATACATTTTCTCATGCAATCTTTTGCTTTTCCTGGAGTTAATTGCCTTTTATTTTCATTGGCTTAGTTTTCTATATACTCATTACTAATTTTTTCCATGTTCCAACAGGTCTGACAGATCCTATCAGTATTTATTCTGTGAAGCCTTCCTCCTGTGGCCCTCTGTCCTCTACCAGTCCTATTGCATGGCTACCACACTTTGACTTTCTCTCCCCATTCTTGTGTCTTACACCATCATTTCCACAAAGAATATTCTCTAACAGGTTCTGGAGAAAGGAAATGTTAGAAGTTGCTTTTTATTGAGTCTGTGGATTATCATATTGCTGGTTAGAGAATTTTAACTTGAAAACAATATTTTTTCAGTATTTTCAAGGCACCTTTTTCTGGTTTCTGGTTTCTAATACTGCTATTGAGAAGTCCAATGCCATTCTGACTCCTTATGCTTTAGAGTGACATACTTTTCCCCTGTGGACACTTTTAGTATCTTGTTTTTATTTCTAGTCTTCTTAGTACGAACTTTTAGAGTTCTTGTGCTGGACATGTAGTGAGTACACTGAATCAGAAGACATTTTCTTTAACTCTTGGAATTTTTAAATATTTTACCATTGATGATTTCCTCTCCTCCATTTTTATCTGATATCTTTGGAATTCCTATTAGGCTTGGGCTCAGAACATCCTCCTCTGAAGCTTCCCAAGTTTACATATTACTTTCCTAAGGTTGTTTAATAGCCCTCTATCTTGAAATTGAAAAGCCCCCACGCAATCATTGTTTGACACCAACGCATGAGATTTAGAAGGTGACATATGAACGATGTTACAATCATGCTTTTTCTCTACCTCTGGCAATACCCTAAATAAAACAATCTGTTTTATTTTAATAGACTTTGAGTTAAAGTATGGGGCCATTGACTATCGAAGGGTATTCCATCCCTGGATTTTGTCCTTCTACTTATTAGCTTTGAGATTGTGGCTGAGACACATAAACTTCCCTGTTCCTTATTTTTCCTCATTTATGAAATAGGCATAATAATAAAACCTACTTTATATTGTTATGAGGATTAAATGAATTAACACATAGAAAACCCAGAAAAAAAGTTCATGGCAAAGTTAACAAAATCAAGACATTTTAGGTATTATTATTATTAGTTTTGTGGCAGCATCTCCAGTCTCTTAGGCAGTCCTCATTTTTGAAATAGGGTTAATAGTTCATCTGTCTTTCATGTGCAGTTTAATAAATGACTATTAAAAAGGGTCTCCCTAAAAATACAAGAATAATAATGCTGATCACCAAGTCTGCCTGCTCAGAAAGGTCTTATTTCAGACATGCTAGTCTAGGTGTTTGCTTGCCAGCCAAAGAATCTGCCTTTCTCCTGGTGACTATAGATGTCGGAACAAAATACAAGCATGGTTGTACCAGCATGGAGGATGGTGAGCGTGCATATAAACATAGATTCCAGTAGCACCTAAAAAGATAGTCAATATGATTATAGACGGACAAGTCTGAGAAGGGAAATAAAAATGTGATAGAATGATGAAATGTTTATTATTTTCAAAGCCAAGTTTCTTTTATAATGAATAAGAGAGAAAAATTAAATAAAGGAAGTGCCCAGAATTCAAAGCAGAAGACATACAGAAAAGAACAAAGCCATTAGCTAGGAAGGCAAATATGCCAGGTTGAATGTCTCACCTAGGACTGTATAAGCTTTTATCAGCACGTAGCTTAGGGACTTGATTTGGTATTCTTTCTTATATCCCCTCTGATCTTCTGCCTAATTTTCTTATCTTTGCTTTGAGGTGAAATTGTATTTTAGCCTGCTGTGTAATAACTGAACTAGATGAAAGAATGGAGGTGGTCAAGAAGCAGGTAAGTGGACTGTTCAATCAGAAGGCAGTACAAGTCAACTTTTAGGTCTGTTGTTTTTTGCTCATTAGGAAAGATGTTCCCGACATTCAGTGACATCCACTTGGCCCCCTTTTCTGACGACCAGCTCTACATGGAACACTACTCCAGAGCCAACTTTTGGTAATGTTCTCGCTTTCTTTCCTTTTCCTTTAGCAGTGGTTCTCAACCTTCCTAATGTCGCGACCCTTTAATACAATTCCTCATGTTGTGGTGACCCCCAACCATAAAATTATTTTCGTTGCTACTTCATAACTGTAATTTTGCTACTGTTATGAATCGTAATGTAATTATATATGTGTTTTCCGATGGTCCTAGGCGACCCCTGTGAAAGGGTCGTTCGACCCTTAAAGGGATCACGACCCATAGGTTGAGAACCGCTGCTTTAGAGTAAATTAGAGTTTCTGAAATGATTGACATTTGGGGTCATATATTGGGACTGAGGGCTGTCCTCTGCACTATAGAATGTTTAGCGGCATTTATGGTCTGTATCTATTAGATGCCAATAGCACCTTCCTCCAGGGTGACAACCAAAATGTCTCCAGACATTGCCACGTGTCCCCTTGAGGGAAAAATCACTCCCCATTGAGAACTAGAATAGACAAATCAGAGAACTGCTTAGTAATATCAAACACCCCAAAGGCTACCCTTGAGGCTAATATGACATCTTCCCCCTGACTGCTGTAGCTCTCTTTCTACTTTTCAGCATCCATTTTGTTGGCTCAGGACTATGGCTTCTTTTTTTTTTTAATATATTTTATTGATTTTTTTTTACAGAGAGGAAGGGAGAGGGATAGAGAGTTAGAAACATTGATGAGAGAGAAACATCGATCAGCTGCCTCTTGCACACCCCCTACTGGGGATGTGCCCGCAACCAAGGTACATGCCCTTGACTGGAATCGAAGCTGGGACCCTTCAGTCCGCAGGCTGATGCTCTATCCACTGAGCCAAACCGGTCAGGGCAGGACTATGGCTTCTATTAGAACATGCCCTTGTCAGAGAACATATCAATCAATATTCCTCACTGTAAATGGGTTGATTAAAAAATTTGTGGAGTTTTCCAAATTGGCTGTTGGCTTTTGGCAGTTCGCCCTCTGAGACTTGGTTGTTTCATTTGAAAAATGAAAACTAACACAAAATTCTTCCTGTTCTAAACCACCATTCCTTCTAGCATTCTTTTCTGAGAACTGGTTTTTATAAAGAGTAAGAGGGGAGGATGATGATCTTGGACCCATGGAGGGAGAAACAGAACAAATGGCATCCTAGTGGGAATGTTAGGTGTGTAGGAGGGAGCACAGGCATGTGCTGGCCGATGGATGAGGATGGATGCTAAAATTTAAGCTTTGAGTTCTAGCTGAGGTAAGCAGAGCCCTCCAATAGAGATATCCAAAGTTCATTTCCCAGGTTTGCTCTTTATAATTCTTTCTTTTGGTGAAATGACAGCAAATAGGAAGTGCTTTGGTTTCCTGGGTTACAAATTCTGTGAGAAGTAGGGTCAGAGGGCTACACTTTTTCTTTTCCCCAATATTTTCTTGCAAAATAGGCTTTCCTACCACAGATTCATAGCATTATGTGGCTTCTGCTCAATCTGTAATTCTGAAACTTCAAGCCAGAGACTTTCCAGCGGGGATAAAGAGCCTATTGGTATGTGGAGGGCAATGAAATGGGGGAGACCTTACTTATGATTATTGTTCTGGAAGGCCTACCCTAATTGTTTATATTTTAAGTGTGTCCTCCTTATTCAATCTCCATTGAAGAGTTCAGAATTCAAATAAAAGAGTAAACGGGGAGGTTGATTGTCCAGGCATTCCTTGTGTGACCTCCCAACCATACCATCTGCAGACAGCTTACTACCTTGAGACTATAAATGATAACAGTGGACTGGCTAGGCTCCCCATAAGTATACATACATGCTGCTACTTATTCCATCTAAAAAAAAAAAAAAAGAAAAAAACTTTTATTTATTTATTTATTTATTTTTATTGCTTAAAGTATTACAAAGAGTATTACATATGTCTCCTTCTT